GGCTTCCCAGTGTCGTGCTCTCTGGGAAGGGGAGGAGGAGGAGGGCCACCTGCCCCCAGCGGTCTCCAGTTTCTTCCAGGAAGAGTCCTCTGAGGAGTGTGCGCGCTTGACGCAAGGGTCCTGTTGCTCAGTCGGCAAGCTGCGTGCCTGGGCTGTCGGTCTTCTGTGCAGAAGGGCCACACCAAGCCCATCCCGGGGATAAGCGCTGCCCAGAGGGGAGGGCACTTGCTTGAGCATCCTCCACGGTGCGCCTGCCTGGACGTCGAGAGAAAGCTGGCTGCAGACCGTGGGTCAGGTACAACTTTCACTTAAATATATTCTTCTCTTCAGCTCCCCTCAAAGGACGGACCGTTGACTTCGAGGTGACACGGCATGCCCTCCGTCTTTCTGTTTGTATAAACAAGTCAAGCCCTGGCTTCCGTTCCCAGTCCAACCTCTCTGGAAGTTGTCCCTGAGCATCGAGGCTTCTTTCATCTTCCTCGAGAGGCCAGAATCAAGATTCTCCTGACCAGCCCCAAAGAGTGAAGTCCCTACATTCCTTGGCTCTGTGCTCCCTGATGGGAAACCGCGGGCCCAGCATCCCGGGCCCCATCGAGGCAGAGAGGTCATGACCCAGGGGAAGGCTGATTTGCGCAGCCGTTGACACAATGGCCCATTTGGGGTGATTTGGGCACTGAGCCCTTCCAGGCTGGGAGATGGGCAGCCAGCATCTTCTCATCAGGAAGCACCCTGTTAACTTCTCAGTGAGTTCAGGCCGGCCCATCTCTACATGAAGCCCCGTGTTAGATCCCACATTCCAACTGCTTGGACAAATGACTGTGATGGCTTTGGAACTTTAAAGTGTTTCTCGGAAGTGGCCCCGGGAGTCAACCACCCATCCTGGGCAGGTTTGCTGGACCCGAGGCAGAACCACCCTTGGTAAATGTGTCCAAAATCTGAGCATGGTCAAAGGTCCGGAATTTGAGGGGGCTTGTGTCTTGTCCACGGCCCCACTGACCTGAGCCCCCCTCGAGCTACAGTGCATAAGCCACATATGCACCCGCAGCCTCCCTGTGGACGTCTGAACCCCTCGGCTGCTTTGCTAAGAGGTTGCTAAACAGCAGATAGGAAGATCCTCCTGGATTATCTGTTTGGGCCCAATGTAATCAAGGGATCCTTAACAGTGGAGTAGGGAGGCAGAAGTGAGTCAGAGGGACATGTGGGCAACGGAAGAAGGTCAGAGGGATGAACGTTGCTGGCTTTGCAGCCGAAGGAGAGGCGACAAGCCCAGGAAAGCAGGTGCTTCCAGGGGGAAACAGCCCCCTCACGGATGGTGTGAGGGCCCCGACTCTGCAGAGTGTAAGACAAGGCAGGCTGGTGAAGGAGTGGGAAGGAGTGAACGTGTGAACATCGAATGAGGACGTCCCTTGCTCTCGGACAGGATGACTCAGCATCAGAAAGATGACAGTCTTCCGTAAGTCAGTTTAGGCACAGAGGCATTTACTTCATGCACCGTTAATAAAAAATACCAGCTACGTTTGATCGGGAGCTCGACATGTGGATAGTAGGGCTTCAACTGGAAAATAGTATTTAACAAAATTGGGAAAACCGTGACCGTGAAGGTCAGCAAGAACAAGATGGGGAACCTACCTACCTACCAGATAGCTCAACAAACTCCAGGTCTCGGTGGGTAGAGTGTGGTGCTGGTGCCTCGTGGGAGAATCCAAACCACCAGACAGAGAGAGAGGGCTGTGTATTAGTGGCCAGAGTCAGCGCCCTGGGCTGCAGGGCCGAGGCTCCCCTGCTGGACGTCGGGCTACTGGGCGAGCCACCGCGGGCTGGTTGAAGCTGTGGAGCCTACGGCCCCATAGCTGGCTGTTAATTTTGTAGCCTTGTGCATTCCTTGTGAATCACACGCGCGTGCGAGCATGCACACACACGCACACATGTGCACAGAGGCACCCCCAAACTCTGGTTTTCTACTGTGTGTTTGGTGACGCCAAGAACCATTGTCCCACTTGTGTCTCGAATTCACCTGTCGGCCTCACTTAAAACCCCGACTGAATGGACAGAAGAGCTGGGCAGCCGGTTCTGTTCTAGAGGCGGCTCTGAGCTCCCGTCAGCCCGCTCTCCGTGGCTGCACATGCAAAACAGCACCCAGCACCGCGAGAGTCAGGACCCTAGATCCTTCCCCTCTTCGACCTCATTTGAACATTAGATGTGTTCTAAAGTGCAGAAAAAAATGAAGCTCATCAGACGAACCGTACATGGTCAGAAAGATTCTAAAACACTGTCGGGTGACCTGGAAAGGCAGCCCCTCTGTGGTGAAATAATGAAGAACGTACTGACTAGTGGTGTGGGTTCCTGCTGATGCTAGAGCAGCTGGGGTCAGCGGTCTGACTGTCGGCATCCTGCCTTCCCCGGAACCCCACTGCACATGCAGCTCGGTGCCCGCGGGGACCCCAAGCACCTTGAGGGGCAGGAAGATGCGGAAGGCCAATGAGAGGCGGCCCTCCTGCCCCCTCTGGACCCACGCTCTCCAGCCCACCTTTTCCAATCCAGGCCGGGGCTCTGTCCCCCTTAGGGTGCCTGGTCAGGGTAGTGGGGACGGGTAGCCTGTCTGATGCCAAACAGGAGGCTCTGGTTCATCTGCCTTTGTGAACCTTCTCCTTCAGCTGACGTGGAAACCCTGACCTGTTGCAGGCTGGGAAGGTCACTTGTAAGGCTCTGCCTGAAATCCCGGCCCATCAGGATAACCCTGACCCTGACCCTATCCTGTGTTAGTGTGTCTGGGCTGCCTTAACAAAGCACCACAGACCGGGCAGTTTAAACAAACGAAATTCATTTTCTCCGTTTTAGAGGCTGGGCGTCCAGGATCATGGTGCCGGCAGGTTGGTCCCTCCTGAGGCCGCTCCCCGGCGTGTGGAAGGCCATCCTCCCCCCATGTCCTCACGTGGCTGTCCCTCCGTGTGCCTGTGTCCTCATCTCCTCTTCTTATAGGGACACCCGTCACACTGGATTGGGCCCCACCCTCCCGACCTCGCTTTACCTTAATCGCCTCCACGTCCAGTCACACCCTGTGGGCAGGGGGTTAGGACTTCACATACGAATCCTGGGGGGACACGACTCAGCCCGTGACACCCCCGGAGAAGTTGGACAGTGGAGCCTGGAGAGACTGTCGTGTGGAATGCCACCACCTGCGGAGTGTGCCTGTCTGGGTGGGGGGACTGGACCCTCTTTATTCCTGTTAACAGAGACACCGGGGTGGCCTGAGATGGTCTGAGTCAGGAAGGGTGTGCAGCTGTGCGTGCAAAGGGCGGGGGCAGAACAGAGCGCTGGGGTGTGGCTGGGTGACCCATGAAGGACGTGGTCCTCCGGGGCTGTGGCACCCTCGGCAGAGAGCTGACCTGGCCCCCATCACTCAGGGGCTGCTCGGGAAGGCGAGCACCCCAGCCTGGCGAACAGACAGAACTGAGCATGCGGACTGCTGGTTGGCACTGGACGGCTGACTGGGGGCCGGGGCAGAGTCGCAGGTGACGAAATGCACCCTAGACATCCTAGCTTGACCACCATTTGCATTTTGTAATATTTCCTACCTAGTCATAGACAACTTTTAGTATTGAAATGGAAGCAAAATGATGCATCTGTTGCCACTTCGTCCTCCTTGTGGACAGTGTTTCTTGCTCTGGGTGGTATATGTAGAGTGTTTCATACCATGAATAGTTTAAGTGATGTCTGGGAGGTGTTAAATACGTATTGAATACTAATAGTAACGGGACTTGTGGGGCGCCTGGGTGGCTCAGTTGGTTAAGCGACTGCCTTCGGCTCAGGTCATGATCCTGGAGTCCTGGGAT